GAAACTAGAGAGCTTGGGGAAATAAATAAAGACATCTTGAAAAATGTCCATATTACAGACAAGGTGGTGCTGTATGTCTTTAAAGGTGAATAAATCCCCAGGACCTAATCAGGTATAACCTAGAACTCTATGGGAAGCTTGGGAAGTGATTTCTGGGCCCCTTCGTGAGATACTTGTATCATCGACAGCCACAGGTGAGGTGCTGGAAGACTGGAGGTTGGCTAATGAGGTGCCACTATTTAAGAAAGTGGTAAGAAAAAGCCAGGGAACTCTAGACTGTTGACCCTGACATCGGTGGTGGGCAAGATGTTGGAGAAAATCCAGAGGGACAGGAATTACATGTATTTGGAAAGGCAAGGACTGATTAGGGATAATCAACATGGCTTTGTGGGTGGGAAATTGTGTCTCACTAATTTGACTGAGTTTTTTGAAGAAGTGATGAAGAGGATTGATGAGGGCAGAGCGGTGGACGTGATCTATATGGACTTCAGTGAGGCATTCAACAAGGTTCCGTACGGTAGACTGGTTAGCAAGATTAGATCACATGGAATACAGGCATAACTAGCCATTGGATTTACAACTGGCTTAAAGGTACGAGACGGAGGGTGGTGGTGGAGGGTTGCTTTTCAGACTGGAGACCTGTGACCATTGATGTGCCACAAGGATCGGTGCTGAGTCTACTTCTTTTTATCATTTATGTAAATGATTTGGATGTGAACATAGGAGGTATGGTTAGTAAGTTTGCAAATGGCACTAAAGTCGGAGGTGTAGTGGACAGCAAAGAAGGTCACCTCAGAGTACAACAGCACCTTGATCAATGGGCCAAGGCGTGACAGATGGTGCATTTTGGAAAGGCAAATCAGGGCAGGACTTATAATGAAAAGGTCCTGGGGAGTGTTGCTGAGCAAAGAGACCTTGGCGTGCAGGTTCATAGTTCCTCGAAAGTGGAGGCACAGGTAGATAGGATAGTGAAGAAGGAGCTTGGTATACTTGCCTTTATTGGTCAGTGCATTCAATGTAGGAGTTAGGACGTCATGTTGCAGCTGTACAGGACCTTGTTTGGCAATTTTTGGAATACTGCATTCAATTCTGGTCTCCCTGCTATAAGAATGATGATGTGAAACTCGAAAGGATTCAGAAAAGATTGACAATGATGTTACCAGGGATGGAGGGTTTGAACTATAGGGAGAGGCTGAATAGGCTGGGGCTGTGATCCCGGGAACAATGGAGGCTGAGGGGTGACCTTATAGAAGTTTATAAAATCATGAGGGCCATGGATAGGGTAAATAGACAATGTCTTTTCCCCAGGGTAGGGGAGTCCAAAACTAGAGGGCATAGGTTTAAGGTGGGAGGAGCAAGATTTAAAAAGGGAACTAAGGGGCAACATTTTCACACAGAGGGTGGTGCGTGTATGGAATGAGCTGCCAGAGGAGGTGGTGGAGGCTGGTACAATTACAACATTTAAAAGGCATCTGGATGGGTACCTGAATCGGAAGGGTTTCGAGAGATATGGGCCAAATGCTGGCAAATGGGACTAGATTTAACTAGGATATCTGGTCAGCATGGATGAGTTGGACCAAAGGGTTTGTTTTTGTGCTGTACAGCTCAATGACTCGATGAGTGCTCTTCAGGGATGGAAATCAACAGTTCCTACCCGGTCTGGCCTACGTGTGGCTCCAGACCCATAAACAATGTGACTTATTCTCAAACTCTTGACTCTGGGCAACTAGGGATGGACAGAGAGAAAAAAAAAAACAAAATTGAAAAGTATTCCCATTTAGGAAAGCAAATTTGCCAAACTTACCTAGCAATTTGATAGACCTGTAAGATGGCCTAAAAAGCTACTCAATTCAAAGGCAGTTAGAGAGGGAAGGGTAATAAGAAAAGGCCCAATAAAGTTTCTGATGTATCTGGAATAGTGACTGCGGCTGATGGTGTGGGAGTTTGATACTTGCTTCGGCCCCACTGTGGTACCAACATGATGACTCGCGTCAGGTTCTGCCACTGCCATGCGTGCGGTGGGTTATGCCAGTTCTCATGCTGGGCAAGCCGCCTCCCGGAAGCAGAATCTCCCACTCTAGAGAGGAAAGAAAGAACTGAAACATGTTTGGTATGACAAGACAGCGCAGCAGACACAACACCCAAAACAGAGGCAGTTGGGATTCTTCTTGCACCTTCCCAGGCGAGGAGAACCTGTCATGGAGCCAGGGAAACAGAGATGACTGAAGGAAACAGGTTAGTCCATTATAGCCTCACACTAAGACCCTCTCGTAGCTACTAGGCTCGATGCTCTTCTCAGGCACTTTCAGAATGAGGTATGGAGGGGAGAGATCTAGAATCACAATCTTCAGGTGGGGGGTTGCAGAGGAATTCCTCCAGAAAACACTTTCACTTTATAGTCCCTGATCTTTTGCAACTCCCATGACACATTGCGGTGAGAAAGTGTTTAGCCCCCATACCCTCACACCACCCCCTCCCATTTAGGAGAACGTGTGGCGTAATGGTAATATTACTGGATTAGTAATCCAGAGCTCTAGATCCGGGAATGTAGGTATGAATGGCAGATAGTGAAACTCAAATTCAATAAAGAATCTGGAATTAAAAGCCGGTTTAATAATGACCATTTGACGATTAATGAACCATATTTGCAACAATGATCTTCCTTTAAGGAAGATAAGTCTGCCATTCCCTGGCCTGACCTATTTGTGACTTCAGACCCAATGCAATGTTGTTGACTGTAAACTGTCCTCCAAAATGCTCAAGCAAACCACTCAGTTCAATGGGTAATTAGGCATGGCCCAACCAGCAATGCCCACATCTCATGAGTGAGTATGAAACAAAAGTCATGATTGTGGGGCAGACTGAATGGAACCACTCGATTTTCCAGTGTTCATATAATAGAGATCTTTCCTCTAGTGTTCTCTTCCTTCGCCTCATCTTCTGGCAGCAGTTATGGGGCACTTCCTACACCAGATTATCGTGGCACATTTCAACCTTATGTAATGTGGGCTTTTGATGCTGGTCGGTGGGTGCAAGATGAAGTTATAGTGCAGCCGATACAATCACTTTTCAACAGGATTCAGGCACCATGCAAGAACCTGTGGCTGAATCAATTGCTTTTTTTTTTCCCCTCTCTCCCCACTCCATCCCTTCCCATTCCCTAACCTAAAGGCAGCTGAGATTTAAAACTGTCGCTGAGGCCATCTGGATTGAGAACAGCTAGCTTCACATAGAGCAGAAACACAACCAACACCTTCCCCTCCCAAATAGCTCAGCGCCACCACTGATCAATGCATTTATCAGCACAGCCACTAGAAGGAGCCTGTTCTCAGCTCAGATCTAAAGTAGAATCTCTTATCCTGAAGGTTTATTTAACCATTTAAGCTTTGACTTGTCTTAACACTTCATGCATCAGAAATGAAAGCTCACGACATCATCTTATGGCATTTTATGAGGCTAATTTTTTTTTTTATTTATTATTTCACCTTTGTGTCTAATACTAATGTGCTGTGCCTTTCAGAGTGTAGATTTTATTTGTCACTTGGACATGAAAAAGGCATTGGGTAACAGTATAAAATAGCTGTATTTGTCCAAAAAAAGGGAGAGAAATGGAAAAAAAAAAGTTAAATACTGAATTAAAACAGGAATGAGGAAACAGAAGTAGCTGGTAAGATTGGCAGTGTCTCGTCTACACAACAGAGAGAAGAAACAAAAAAAGGACGTGGAACAGTGAGGTTTGCTGAACGTCAAACAACAGTGGACACCACCAACAGTACACAAAGAGAGACAAGTATTAGGAAAAATGGTTTAATATTTGAGACAGAAGCAAAAACTGCATCACACAATAACATACGTTACAAAAATAAGTCCAACTGTTCCACAGTTATGTTCACAATGAAGACAGAGAATCAGGAAAAAACTTGGATTTCAACAGCAAAAAGCAAACCCCTATTTTTTAAACTAATACAGTTATCCCACTGTAGGTGAATGAATACTGCTAGTCCTAATACGTTATGTAACTGCACAATACATAATTGAAGAGAAACTTACCCATTTTTTTTGACAAAAATTCTTGACAGTTAAGCATATGCAAAGAAATGAGGAAAGCAAGCCAAAGTTTACTTCTTTTAAAAAGTATTTCTTGTTAATTCTTAAAATGAAATAATCGCCACTTTCTCTGCACCAACCAGAAATTAAACTCAAAGTCAGTCATCACTGGGCCCACACACAGGTAAGGCGCAGAAATATCCATTTTTTAATTTCCAGTATAAAAAATTCCACTGGTACAAAATGCATAATTACAGTCAAGTCGTAGAAATACGAAAGCCCACATTTTTTTTTTTTGAGTGTGTGTGTTGTGTTGACTCCTTTTCCTCCAAAAAAAATCTTCCATCACATACAGAGGCAAAATGCACCAAAAAAAGAATTACAGCACTCACATGGGCTTGCGGTTCCCCCACTCAGTTTGCATTAACTTTGGCTTTTCTCAAACAAATACTTAAAACTATATATTTTTTTTTTCTTTAAATCTTAATCCTAAATGATAATAATAGTCTACAAACACCAGATCTCACATCACAGGAGCACAAACACTTGTCTTTGTGAGACATTTTTCAAAAAATGCAATGAAGCTACAACTTTTTTTTCCTTTTTTTTACTTAAGATTTTAAAACAAACAGAAACAATGTGTTGGGAGGATGTCTGTTGCGGGTAGAGGATGGGGAGAGGGGGTGATGGTGAGGGAAATGAATTCATAACAGAGTGGGCCAGAAATAAATCCCCAAGGCAATGGAAGCTGAACTGATTCATACTGCTCCTCGCCTTCAATGCAGAGAAATATTGGCCCGTTAACAGTTAGTGCTTCATTACATACTGAGTGCATGCACAGAGGAATGACAAATGTTTTTTGCGATGTTTAGAAAGTCGTACAAGGCAGCTAAGGCTGCTTAATTATTATTAATTAATTATATTTTAAAAAAACAGTTCTAAACATTCCTGCCTTGGGGGGGTGCTTTTTTTTTTTTTTTAAAAATTTTTGTTTTTTTAAACTGTTTTTTTTAAATTTCACAACTATAAGAAAAAAGCTTTTGTGAGGTTTGCTTGCACAGCTTCTATAAATGGCAAGGTTGGGAAACATGGAGCGCTTTTACAAAGAGAAATAACAAACAATGAACAATCTCAGGCAACAAGACCACAGCTTTAGCAATTTAACAAACTTTTTTTTCTCTCTGGTTTTGATCTATTTTTTTTTCCTTTAATTTTTTTCAAACATGAGAGAATTATTACAAAACACTCAAGTAACAAAATACCCATGTTATCAAATTACTTCTCACAATTAACACAATTAAGCACTAGGCAGGAAGTACCTTTATTTTGCTTTTGGAATTTGGCACTAATCCCACTGATTTAAGTCGCTGTTTTCTTCTTTTCCAAAAGAAAAAAAAGCCAATCTCACATTTTGCTGAACAAAGAATACGTCAAACTGTTAAATCTCACAACGAAAAGAAAGGAACAAAATCGGACGTCAAAACGTTTCACACACAAAGCACAAGATTTTTTTGTCCTGGAATTGTATAATTCTTTTTATCCCTTTTCACCCGAAGAGTTAAGATTTTTTTGGCCGCCAAAAAAAATCTTTTGCCGAGTGAACTGAAAAATGTGTCGTTTTACGAAACACTTAATCATAGAACCTTAAAAATTGCGATGACACCAAAACTTAACCCACATAGTTACCAACGTGACGAAGTTTACACTTACTGCTTTGTTTTATCTTCTCCAATACATTTAAACAGTATAAAATATAGGTCATTTAATGTGCATTTACCACAGATTGTCTAGGTGTGAATCAGTTCAGCAAAAGGTGACACAAATAGGTAGTCTTTCCCCAAACATGGGTCATCTTTTTTTTAATTATCTTAAACTAGTCTACAAAAAAAGTGGTTTTAATCTTTTCTATATATATCGATGAGAAAGTGAGCCACTTAAATGGCCTTATCAAAACTTTACACTGCCTGAAAAATGTAAAAATTATTACAGAGCTCTTGATAATATCCGACCAGTTTCAGCATCTGATCAGAAGTAGTCTGCTTCATTGAGAAACCAACATTCTGCACACTGGCCACATATTGCTATTGCGTTTCTAAGTGACCAGAGAGAAAGTCAATCCCTGTATAATACTTTCAAGTTTGTTTCATGAAAAAAAAAGAAACATTTCCGCCACAGGTTATTTTTTTTCCCTTCTCTCTCTCATATAATTTTTTTTCTTGCTTTACTTTCTTAAAATAATTTTTTTTTCTTTTTCAGTCTTAACACGAATGCAGCTACGTTTTTCACATTGATCTCTTTAGAATTCAGAGCTACGTGAGGTCACATGCAAAAAATCTCAAAGTCAAACTAGGTCAAGGGGTCAAGTAGGAGGACCAAGTGTGATGTGAGGTCAGAAAGACATCAGAAACAATGACGGGACGATGAGCTTTTTTTTGAATTTTTTTTTGACGTCACAGGGACATGCTAGGCAAACGATGAACTAACGAGCATGAAGATGTCTAGGGGAAAAAAAACAAGGAAGAGTCAAAAGTTACACAGAGTCTACGCAGCAGGAACAAAATCATTCTCATGGTTGCAGAAACAATGCAAATCTCAGTCATTAGAATCTACGAGCCATTCACATAAATTTGCATTTTTTTTTTAATAACACTGTTAACAAAAAAAAAGCAACGGCAACAGATAAACACCCAAAAGAATCCATCGAAACTTTAAAAGGGATAAAAGAGATGGATTAGTTTTGGGACAGAAATACAGAATTTTAATTAAACAAGTATACAAACAAGGAAATTAAAGTCACAAGATTAAAAAAAACTTGAAGTCGACTAGATAATGGAAGCTATGAGTAATGAGATACCACACAAATAAAGGGTACAAAAAACAGGAGAAGCATGAAAGGTACAAGGTTGTGATTTGTGCGCACACAAGGATAATCTCATTCCCACTGTAGCACATTTTAAGACTACTTCACGAGGCAGACTCTAACTATTATAGAGGATGAGTTATCTCAGGTATCCAATAAATTAACTATAGGTATTTAATAAATAACTTCCATCTTTCTGAGGCAGTAAAAATTTGTATAAAAATAGAGCTGCTTTTTTTACAAATAAAATGTACAGGCCTGTGGCTTTCCTTCTTTTCATATTTGATTTATTCTTTAGTAAATGTTACCATTTAACCTTCTTTTGTTTATCCCCTTGCCCCCTCCTGAAATGAAAGAGCCCCTATATGGTGGTAGAAACAGATCTCAAAAAGGCTTTTGTTTAACCCCAAAAGAAATTGTTGTGATCTGTTCACAGAAAGCTGATTATGTAAAACATGATCATGTCCTATGAGATAAATTCTCATTGAAAGTGAAAAAGAGAAAGAGAGAGAGAGAGAGTGAGAATTAAAACTAAAATAAAGGAATATGTTAGTTCACTTGGCATCACTTTCAGACTAGGCCACCACATCGTAACCCGTAAACTGCTGGTGCCTTTCTAATCTATGTTAACTGGGTCTGTTAAGCTTAATAAAGCACATGGTGCCCCATTATCACATGGGCCTGTTTGGCACCAGTGGCTTCTGAGTTAAATTGCACATTTCGGTTATTTTTAAAAATTTTTAAAGACATTTTTTTTTGCAAAATTCGATTTTTCTTTTACGGAACAAAGCAAAAAATTAAATACTGTAAATACAATAAGATCTAAGATACTAAACGTAACGGGAATGGGAGGGAAGCAGGGGGGGGTGGTGGGGGGGGGGGGTGGGTGGGTGGGGGGGAGGGCTGGGAGGGGAAATGGAAGTGTAATGTTAAATACTGTCTCTTGATGAATGTTGGCAATGATCCTCCTCAGCCACAGCTGATTCATGGGACTTACCCTAACAAAGCTAAAGTAACAGCATTAACCTCCCACACTAGACTCAGTACGGCTTGCTGTCATTCTTGGATCGTTTCAGTTGAACCTTTAAGCGCTTCATTCCAATCTGAAAGCCATTCATAGCCTGGATGGCAGCCTGCGCAGAAACTGGATTGTCGTAGCTTACAAAACCTGGGAGGAGGGGGAAATGGGGTCAAGAAAAGGAAAAACCTTTAAACAATCTCGCGACAGGGCAGTGGAGGTAAGATTTATACTTATGAAACTATGTATCTTATCTCAGAAGCGTGCCCAAACTGTTCAAGTAGAGTTTGCTGCTTTGAAGGAGAGTTGACAGGCTGGGTCCAACTCTTTGTTCAAATACATTCCTGGTGGTATCGCATTATCTCCTACCTTCAATGCTCCCATCCCACACTCCTGCAGCTGGTGTGGTCCATCATCTCAGATGGTACCATGCCAATGGTACTCTTTTTTGGCAAAGTGAATAGCTGTCGACTGTCAGGCAAAGATTTGCCCAACTCCAAACGCTTTTGACATTTCATCTTAAAGACGGCACCTTGGGGCAGTGCAGTGCCCCCTCTTTCACACTGGAATTTCAGGCCCTGAAATCTTCAGAGTGTGGTCAATATCCAGGAAATCCCACCTTAGAGAGGATAGCGTTGACACAAAGAGGGCAATTTGTTACCTTGGCGATTGTGCAGGAGTGACCCTAGACAATGCTAAGTTGGGAGGTTATTTGACTTTATTTATTTTTATTTGTCATGGGAAACTGGTGTCACTGGCTAGGCCAGCATTTATTTATTCATCTTCACCTTCACCTTCCCAGATGTCAGGGCAGTTAAGAGGTAAGCACATTAGTGTGGGTGTGGAGTCATATAAGCCACATCAGGTAAAGATGGAAGATTTCCTTCCTTGAAGGCCATTACTGCCAGCTGGGGTTTTATGACAACTGCCAGTGATTAAATTACTAAGCTGGCTGTTTATTCCACATTTTTATTGAATTCAAATTTCACTGTGTCTCAGAACGTCAGCCTGTTGTTCTAGATTTCTCATCCAGTGACATTACCATGCTGCCACAGCCTGCCACGATGGAATTACAGCTGAGTTTTGGCTGCTGGAACATGACAAAAAGCATGGACTGATTTTCCCTGTCTAACACAGGGAAGCTCAGGCCTTGGCGGAATATCGACCACCATCTAGGTAAGACCGTAACTAAGGACACAGCAGAAATCAAACCTATTGCCTCCAGTTGCCTATTAATGAGTTTAATATTGTAAATAAACTCTCCAGTATCTACTATGTCTGGAAAAAGGGGGGGGCCGGTTACGTGAATCTGTAAGTTGAGTGAGAAATACTCTTATAGAAACCCATATACAGTACACTCAAGAAACTGCTACTATAATGGCACGTGCTTGAGGGAGGACGATGGACAGTGCTGCTAGTGGTTACTGGGAGAACTACTACATGATGGATGAACATAGACACATCAGAACTTGACGTACCAAGTTCAAATAGACGTTTGTGAAGAAACTTGGTTAAAATGGCAAATTTCCTTTAAAATGTTTGCTTATTGCATGAAAATTCCAGATGCTTGGGCACTGGATAATGGGGAGTTTACTGAACTGCATTCTCCATTTTCGATGGAATCATTACAGGAAGTGACTCAGTTTTATTTTGACTTGTGGGATCCATTTTTTTTTAATGAGCTGTCACAGGCTGCGTGCACATTATCAGAACATCAGACACTAGCCCAGTCTCCACTTTTGGGATCAGGTGAAATCCATTCATAGATTCTTACCAAAACACTTGCTAAGATTGGTCTGTTTATCAATGAAGACTTTAGCAGACACAACGTTTCCAAACGGCATAAACATCTGTAGGATATCCTGATCGCCAAACTCTTGGGGAAGGTGGTAAATAAACAGATTCGCACCTTCTGGCCCTGAGGATGAGATTTAACATGAGGTGAGTCACAGACAAAAATAGAAGTCCTCCATACATTTAAATTGACATACGTGCTTCTGAGGCTAGAATATTTTTCGTTCAGTCAAAACAACATGAGAGACAGGGCTCTGCAAATATAAACCAGGTGCCACACTGTTCTGCTAAGATACATGGTTACCGGCTAGTTATATCTTCACAAACTGGGAAGGTTCTTTCACTTCTAATCTTTAAGATTGAGTGTAAGGAGGGAGGGGCTTTGTGGGGCGGAACAGCTTGCACACCTGTTTAACACTCACCCCCTTTGCCAACAGATGACCCTGGAAAATTTCCAACCCACCCCATTTCCATGCAGGATAGAGTAAATTCACCTTTGAAATAAATCAGAGCAATGAACCACTGTGCTCAATACCTTGGCACAGAGCCTGTATAACAGGCCAGGTAGGATGCAGCTCAGAAGAGGATACGTTCTCATGAGCAGCTCTGATATCTGCAGAAAAATATCAGTGAGATATTGGCCAGAACCTGGTTATACAGTCAGAGTCATACAGCACGGAAACAGACCCTTTAGTCCAACCAGTTCACGCTGACCAAGTTTCCCAAACTAAACTAGTCCCATTTGCCTGCGTTTGGCCCATATCCCTCCAAACATTTCCTATTCCTGCACTTATCCAAATGTCTTTTAAACATTGTAACTGTACCTGCATCCATCACTTCCTCTCCACGTTTGTTCCACACAAGACCCACTCTCTGTATAAAAAAAGTTGTCCCTCAGGTTCTTTTTAAATCTTTCTCCTCTATGCCCCTAGTTTTGAACTTCCCCACCCTAGAGAAAAGACCTTAGTCATTCACCTCATCTACGCTCCTCATGATTTATAAAATCCTCAATAAGGTCAGCCCTTACCCGTCATTCAGCGGCCAGTCATTCACCAACGAATCACCTGAAGGACAGCGTCACTATGGAGGCTGTAGCTACTGCCAGTATGATGCCCACCCAGAGTTTGCTGGATCCCAGGCCACAGGAACAGAACGGCAGGAGGACATGGGCAAACAGTGGTGGGAGAGGGAGGGACCCACTGAATAGGCCCTACCTCCAGCTCTCTTGGTCAGGTATTGACTGCCTTTGAACAATAGCACCCATCCCCTCCAAGTCTAACAATGAGACACTTATGCCCATTAAGGACCTCAATTGGCAGTGAGAGAGGGAGAGTCATCAAAGGTCTTCCCATCCCGGACTTAATCAGGATGGGACTGAGAAGATTCCACCTGTCATTAATGAGCTACCATTTCTTCAAGGCGTGGGATAGGGGATTCATTTAAGGTTAATCACAGACATTCCAAGCAGTAGCCAGGAATGTCAGGTAATAATTCATACATGTGAATTATTGGTTTTAATTAGGTGACAAATTTGGCTGACCCAAGTGCACAAAGCAATAACATCTCCCACACACTGATTAAAGTGCCTCAGCATTTAGCCAGCACACACAACCCATTTATTTCTAGGACACTCGAGATTAATAAACTGTGTGTGTGTGTGTTGGATGTTAGAGAACTTTATTAAAAGGGTAATGAGATTGTGCTTGTTTTAAAGTGGCAATGAAAACAAGAAAATAGGAGACACTTCTGTAACAAAAAACAAAACCAGATAAATTGGCAGTGTATTATTGATAATCTTCAAATGCCAAGAATAATGATTTAACGCTAATAACATTAATTAACAATAGCTATTCTTAAATTCATATTAATTTGTTTCATGGACAATCTAATACCAATGGTTTCACTCATTATCAAAGCATCAATTGCACTCTCCATGACTTTAACCCCAGAAGTTATATCCCACTTTATTTCAGCTATCTGTATGCTTTGTGGTAGCGATAAGAAATCTTTGACTTTAACAACACTCAGGACTCTCATCCAAATGGTTGTTCACTCTATCACAGGCAGAAATGTAGAGTACAAATCTGTCTGTCAACACACAAGTTGTATACTGATAGTTGGAGCCACAGGAAGGCTAGGTTGAGATAAGATGTAGTGTTAACCTCGCACAATTGGTTTGCTTGAAGCCAAGACGTTTTGGTAGGGAAGTTCATAAGGAAGCTGTAATTTTCTTTCTTATTCATTCACAGGATGAGGGTACCACTGGCTGGGCCAGTATTTATTGCCCAGCCCGAATTGCCCAGAAGGCTGTTGAGCGTCAACCACTTTGCTGTGGGTCTGGAGTCACGAGTAGGCCAGACCAGGTAAGGACAGCAGTTTCTTTTCCTAAAGGACATTTGTGAACTAGGTGGCTTTTTTCTGAATATCAACAATGGATTCATGGTCATCATCAGCTCCTAATTCCATTTTATTTACTGAATTCAAATTCCACCATCTGTCTTGGTAGGATTCAAAACACCACCAGGGTCTCTGGATTAATAGTCTAGAGATAATACCACTAGACCATCACGTCTACCAACAGACTGGACTATAACTGACCTTTTGAATAAAATGCCAAATGCAGAAGGGGTTCCATATGCCTTATTCTGAAAATTACAACACTAAATGAAAGCTTGCTTCCTTCTGCTGGAGTGTTCATTCTTCTATCTATTGTCAGGTGCTCTACTCCATCCTTGTGGAATGCCTTCACATTGATTTGCCGCTAAACCGCCTTTGAATCCAGCGGTGCAGCAAGTTTTTCCCCAGGGAATGAGAAGAATCTCAATAGGTCAGGGTCTCTGTCTGCATTCCTGTGGTGCTCACTGGCACTTTTGGAATTGGAATTCTTATTGGAAATTATTAGAAAGATACTGCTACCCTGATGCACTTTGTATGGTACGATCAGCCTGTATAGCACACAAAACAACATTTTTTCCACCGTATCTTGGTACATGTGACAACAATAAAATCAATCAATCCATGTGACCCATTCCCCAGAAATGTACAATCATTGCATTCAAATCGCCCCGCATCGTTGGTCAAGACATAACTGCCCCTCCCACATCCCACCCACCAATTCATCCTTCACAAGGAGTACAGGGACAGGAGGAGATCATTTTGCCCCTTCAGCCTGTTCTGTCATTCAATTAATCATTTCCGATGTAGGAATTGCCACCTTTGATCCATATCCCTTAATATTGTTATTTAACACACAGATTCAAATCACAGATTTAAAATGAACAATTGGTCTATTACAAATTGCCATTTGCAGAAGAGAGTTCCAAACTTTGTCACCCTTTAAGTGAAGGCATGTCTCCTAATTTTCACCTCTTAAAGCTTTAACTTTTCAACCATATCCCCTAATACTAGGTTTACCAACCAGCAGAAATCAGCTCTCCCAATCCACCCTGTGCGTTTCCCTTAAATATCCTGAGAAGTTTGCTCAAATCTCCAATGAACCTTCTGAATCAGACCCTACTTTCTGTGGTCACTCTTCAAAATTTCACACTTGGAGTCCCAGCATCATTCTGATAACACACACTACACTCCCTCCAAGGTGATGTGGTGTCCAGGACTGCTCACAGTGACTCCGATTGTGGTCTGACTGGGGTTTTAAGTAGCTGAAGTGTGAGCTCCAGCCCCTTGTATTCTGCCTGAATAGAAACACCTGAATTTCATTAGATGTTTTTGATTATTTTCCATACCTGTCCATGACATTCATGTTCTGTGTACCTGGGCTCCCAAGTTTCTTTGGATTTCCACTATTTCTAGGATTGTATCATCTAGAAAATAGTCTGTTCCACACCTCTTTAGCTTCCAAATGCTTAACCTCATATTTACCTACACTGAAACCCATTCACCTACAGTGGTGCCCATTCACTGACTCAGGGTTGGGGGTGGGGGGGGGGGGGGGGGGGGGGGTTGTGCCATTTTTTTTTTTTTCGCCCCCCCCCTTTTGTGGCCCCTCCTTTCGGAACCCGCCCTCCT